CGTAGACAGGCATCCACACTATGACTCTTATTAACCGGTTATTCGTGGAGTAACTCTGAACTTAACCTATTGTTCTCGCTCCTGATTTACAGGTGCAAGCATTCGGATCCAGCGCTGTACTGATAGGTGGACTTTCCACGTAGGTGTTGCTCATAGTTTAATTTGTATGTATGCAGTGAGCATCGAGTATTATATTGGATGCACATTCCCTTTCGTTTTAATCAAGTGATTCGAGTACTGTTGTTTACTCAGACAACGCACCTAATTGTTTTTTTTCCATTTATGCATATTTAGTGCATAATTAGTATACTGATATGTGGATTTCCATGTTTCGGGTCAATAACATCATCATAGACAATGCTCTAAAACTTCAAACATACAAACATCGATTGGCACACAAGCCTCTCTATCAAGTATATGTTTTTGCTTGCGTCTGGCGCTTGTAGTAGAGGCTGCCAGAATTATAGTATTTACTGTAAAGGACAAGTTTGTTGTCATGGCCGGCCTGTTTGAATTTCTGATGACCTGGAAGACATCCATTGAGTAAAATACCAGTGGTATCTAAATGTCACAGAGGCTTTGATTTAGCTTCAAAGTACCTTGCTAACTATGCTGAATTCCCCCCTTCATTTAGCGGAATTATGGGGTTGGTATCGATATTTACTGGGCCCATCATTGGAGGCTTCGCTGATACGTTCGGAAGGAAGATGGTCCTGGTCTACGGCTGTGTGCTGGCTACGTTACCCTCGTTGGTCCTGATCTTCAATCTCAATATGTAGGTTATTTGCATACGAGGATGTGTTTTGTGGTGTACTCTCGTGGAAGCTCATTTGCACTAATTACGAAAATTCGAAGATTTTGGAGTGGACAAGCCATACAGCCAATTCGCTGCATTATACGCGTCTGTGGATATCTTGGGGTGCAAGGCAGAGTAATTTCCGATGGTGCCAGTTAACACTCAAGTTATGTTGATCGTGTTGCCACATTGAGCTTGTGGTATCATGATCGCGTTACCACATCGAATGAACTGTTGGTGACACTGTACGAGTTGTCTGTGCTCACTTCTGCACAATGCCTTTGTCTACTACACCTCACTATTCACAGGATTGCATACCAAGTGGTCTTATGCTTATCCGGGATTCTGCGAGCCGGTCAGGATAACATGAACATATACTTTGTGTACATCGCCGATACAGTCGTGGCGGAGAAGCGTACCAAATTCGTGGCGTGGATGTATGCAACGTTGGCCATCTCTTTGGTAAGGGTGCCAATGCCTTTGATTACTGTGTTCACGTAGTGTCTGCCCTATATATATATTCAGTTGTGTACTCCCGACTCTGTGCTACCGCCGTGCATTCCATGCGCGTGCCTGCATACGATCGAGGGGCCTTTCGCAGCTCTATCTGAACCATGCAGCGTAGCGTAACAAGTTTGAGACTCGGAGTTATTGGCTATATGCTTCTACATATAATCTGTGTATGTATTTGCTCGCGTTTAGTCGTAGCTATATATATTGTGCGTTCCGGCGCCTTTGTTACATCTTTTTAATCGATTGTTTTTTTGCCGAACGCAGGCGGGATGCATTCGCTTATCTCATTTTTTTAAATTTTTTTTAAATTCGAGTACGAACGGCAGGGCGATGCACTTCCTCACCCTCTGCTACACAAATTTACAAAGATCCACAACCTGTCGTATTCCCACCGATATCCTTAGCAACCTCCGATCAACTGTATAGAGTATAGGAGAGCCTAATGATTCACACTTTGCGTCTATGGGCAGATCCTTGCTCCGCCCGTAGGTGCGTACATCTACACTGCCTACGGTGAGGCGACTGTTGCTGCAATCAACGTGTCGGCGACCACTCTCAGCGGCATATACATAGGTGATTTAACGCTGAGTATAGTAAATCCTGTGCCAATGTTGCTCAATGTGACGCTATAGGTGGCATGCATGTTTCGTACGCGATTATATCTGCACGCCTGTGAAGTGATTATTGGCACAACATCTCCCCTCTGCCAGCGTATCCGATCTACCTTGCCGGCCTCCCAGACTTCGTCTTCCGTGACCAAATCTTTGTGATGCGTGAAATGACTGTGTTTCGCGAAAGCATGCGCTTAGGCCCGGGAAGTAAACTAATGTGAGTTCTCAATCCCTTATTTGAACGGTTAGAAACGGTTGCGGCGGGGTGTGCGTGTTAGGAGTCGTAGGACAAACCCCAATGTATATTTTATTGGCATACTGCTAAAACTCCGGCTTATCGAAGATATCCATCGGTTATAGCTGCCGTCCGATCTGCCACTAACTGAATTGTATAATCGCTCTGTTTCCGTAATGACTTTAGCTCTGATCCTGCCAGAAACGGCACCAAGGAAAGCTGCTATAAGCGCCCCGGCTGGTAAGGAACCCGCGCTCGTATTTTTTATTATTTTTTGGGGTTGGCTGACATTATCTTATTAATGTATTTTGATTGACATTTTGGTATTGTGAATGTTGGTGTGACATGATATTCATAACTTTATGTAGTTTTCTCTGGGGAGTATTCCTTCATAGTACAAGCAGGTTTGTCGTTCTTAAGGCAGTCATGCAGATAATGGGTGTCTATGTCTTCCTGCAGCTTCACGTGTGACGATTTCGCACCAGTGTGGATCGGCACACACGCTCGCCTACTCGCCTATGTATACAGACTGTACAGGCAAATAGCACACGTCTCGTGATAGCACACATAAACACTCACTTCACGCAGGTCATGGTGGAGCCTATCGAAATACTGGGCCCACCTGCTCACCGCTAACAAGAAAATGCAACACATATTTATTATGTAAAGTATTAAAAGCAGATGTAGAGGAAATGTCTAAGACTGTCGAAGCTGTCGAGGAAGAGGTGAAACGCACAGTAGCATCGCGGTTCAATGCGCTGGATGGATTGAAGGCAATCCTCTCTACTCCCGGACCTCTGCGCATTCTCGCGGTGCTCTCCTTTATGGACAACCTGCTCAAGTACGTATATATAAGTGGGTGGTATATTCACGGAGTATTGACTATATGTAGATCTACCTGGGTAGTGTATTCACGAATATTTACGTATATTTATCTGGGCGATATATTCACGGAGTATTAACTTTATATATATACCTGGGTATAGTGTATTTACGAGTGTTTACATATATATAACTGAGTGGTATATTCTTGGAGTATTTACGTATCTAAATATACATCTGGGTAAGTGTATTTACACAGAGAAGTAATTAGAGGGCACATACATGTGCAAAGCTAGCAATTATTGCGTCGTGCTTCGTGACAACATGCGCTTACAGGCGCGGTGTGCTTCAACATATCAAATTGTCAGCAAACTGTCGTTATCTGACTAGTCAGTCCAGCACATGAAGTAAATGTAAGTGGATCTTTGGGTACTCTCAAGGCTGGACCTCGTATGACGCTAACTGTCCGGATATATCAACACCTTGAATGTGACAGATTCGGCTTTATTGGGACGCTTGCTCTCTATTTGACGTCCAACACACAGCTGCAGTAAGTCTGCATATCGAACGTGTGGCTCTGGAATCCATCCATCGCAAATTTTTCGGTCGTAAACCTGATTTGTTTTTATCTGCGTTTTTGGTGTGAATTCGGGTTAAAATAGGATTTGATTTAGCTTGACTTATTTTTTAAGTGTACTTGTATCTGATCCGTCTTTGACTATCATGTATATGGAAATATACATCCAAAGGACATATTTCCATCAAATATAGTGGTACAATTTAAACGGTGTATATATGTATATATATATATATTTATATATATATATATATATATATATATGTATAGTATACATACTATATATA